ATCTACCTGTAATTGGATACATATTTACAGAATATTTTAATAATCTTTAAAGTTAGAAAAGGCAGATCCCGTAGGCAAGGAAGGGTAGCTTATCTTGGTTTATCAGGCTTTACAAAATTCTTACTGCTCAGAAATAGGCTCCTCCCTACTCCCTGCTTTGATCTATAAGCCTGGTGACCCTCTGTCAGGTTTGGAAAATGCAAAACTTGGGCCCAAATAGATTTCCAAATTGGAAGGCACCTTTGGACAAGTTCTGTTTTCATACCAGCTCTCAGATGCATTGTGTCTTTGATTCCAACTGCAGCAGCCACTCTAGGGCAGGCTGTCATTACTAATCTCATTAGGGTGTTGCAGAGCTCCAATCCATGCCACACAATACTACCAAAGTCATCTTTCTTACCTAGAGATCTAATGTCACCCCTCTGTTCCAGACTCTTTCATGCCTTCCTATTACCTCCAGTCAAGTTCATTCAAGGTCTCCCACAATTCTCTATCACTTTGCCTTCCCAATCCCTTTATGTGTGTATGTGTACTGTGTTCATGGCTGAACAACAGCAAAAGACATGATGGCAGGGATTCAGGGACTTAATTGGACAGCTAGATGCTGGGCTTGGAGTCAGGAAGACTCATCTCCCTGAGTTCAAAACTGGCCTCAGACACTTACTAGCTGTGTGACCCTGGGCAAGTCACTTAACCCCGCTTGCCTCAGTTTCCTCATCTGTAAAATGAGTCAGAGAAGGAAATGGCAAACCACTCCAGTATCTTTGCCAAGAAAACCCCAAATGGGGTCACCAAGTGTTGGATATGAATAAACTGGAAAACAGGAACACAATAAATGTTGGCAGTAGTTATAGTTATTTAAACTCATGTTGGGTATATTACTGAGGGAAAAGTAGCATATGTAGAGACACTACTGTCATATTGCTCTATCGTATAACCATATATCGTATTGTCAGTTCTTAGTTCACAGGATGCGTGAAAAACTCCATTCAGTTTTCAGACAATGCTGAGGCAGCTAAGTGGCATTATGGATAGAATGTTGGGCTTCCAGTCAAGAACTCTTGAATTCAGATTTGATTTCAGGGGCAGCTAGGTGGTGCAGTGGATAGAGCTCTGGCCGTGGAGTCAGAAGGAGCTGAGTTCAAATTCAGCCTCAGACACTTGACACTTCCTAGCTGTGTGATGCTGGGAAAGACACTGAACCTCCCTGTGCCTCAGTTTCTTCATCTGTAAAATGGAGATAATAACAGCAAGGTTGTTGTGAAGATAAAATTGAGATAATATTTATAAAGCTCCTGGCATAACTTTTAGTGCTATTATAAATGCTAGCTGCTGTTGTTATAGTACAGTTTAATTTTCTTTATATCTATATAGATGTGTGTATATAAATTCTGTGTGTATATGTACACACACATCCCTACAACGTATATTATACCAAATGACTTCTAAATTGCAGATTAAAAGATATCATGTGTAAAGTGTTTCTCTAGACAAGTGGCCTCCAGACTTTTTTTTTGATCAATAAAAATAAAAATAATTTGAACATGAGCACATATTCCCAATGTGTGTATATATGTATGTGTATATACTTATTTATAAACATACGTATTCTGTCATGCTAACAGTTGTGAGCATTATAAAACTTACATAAACATAGAAATGTTAAAAGGGTGAAACAGTATTGAGTTCTAGGGCCAGTGGGGAGCCACTGGCGTTGGCGCAGGGGGACGACATGCTCAGAACTGGCTTTTACGAGAATCATTTTGGCCCCTGAGGGGAAGCTTGGCCTGTGGAGGGGGGAGGCCTGGCAGTCATGAGGGGAAAGGAGAGGTGATGAGGATCTGCATTGAGGTAGAGTCGGTGTGACCAGAGAGAAGGGGCCACGGGTCCTCCACGATGTGGAAGTAGAACCAAGAAGATTTGGCAAATGATTGGATGGGGGGAGGGGCGGTAAGAGAGACCGAGGAGTCTGAGATGACAGCAAGGTTGTGAGAGACTAGGAGGATAAGTGTGTCCGTGCCAGTGCCAGTGAAATATGGAAGAGGCTAGGTTTGGGGGAAAGGATTATTTTATGTAATGATATCTATGCTACAGGTCAAAATCTATCCATGTCTTCTCATGAGATAAGAAAACTAAGGTGCAGAGAGGGGAGCAAGGATTGGTAGAGGGGCAGAGCAATGATTTGAACCTACCTCTCTTGACTTCAATAACAGCAGTCATGGTAGACACTTCTGTTGCGCTTTAAAGTTTGCACACAGCACTTTTCGTGTTGTTTCTTCTTAGGTAACACGGCATCAAGTCTGATGGAACCAGGCTTAGCCTTCAGTTCTTCACCAGAAAGGCCTTGGAAGTACCATGGGTACTTCTGGTCTGTCACTTTGGGATCTAGCTTAGCAGGGCTATCCCAGCTTCCTTGTTGGAGTAGTTGTGAGAACATCTCCAGGGCACAAGAAAGAGGTTGTGGTGGTTGTCCTTGTTCATTTTTCAGTCACGGCTGACTCTTGCTGACCCCATTTGGAGTTTTCTTGGCAGAGATATTGGAGTGGTTTGCTATTTCCTTCTCCAGCTCATTTTACAGACGTGGAAAGTGAGGCAAACAGGGTGAAGTGACTTGCCCAGGATCACAGCTAGTAAGTGCCTGAGGCTGGATTTTAATTCAGGCTTTCCTGACTCCAGGCCCAGTGCTCTGTCCAATGGGCTGCCTCACTGCCCCGAGAAAGAGGACATTGTATCAGTTAGGTACAATGCTAGCAGGTAGGGATGAAGCAATGCTTTAGGATGATAGAGGCACCTTACAAAGGGTCCATTTTGACTGCTCACCCATATGCCAGACTTCCCCTGATCAGGTCCTAAATTAGGCTGCATGTTAGACCCAGTATTTTTTGGATGGTGAAAGGAGAAGAGGCTGGGAAATGTGCCCATAATTGGCAAAGTAAGAGGGGGAATCCAGCATATTTTTAAAAAAACTGATTAAAGTGCTCACTTCAGCAGCACATATACCAAAAGTGGAATGATACAGAAAATAGCATGGCCCCTGTGTCAGGATAACATGTAAATTCATGAAGCATTCCTCATTTTTTGTTAATATGGAAATGCCAGTTCCATTTGGTATTGAAGTTTAGAATTTTTAAAAAAAATTTTAACTGATTAAAGCACTGATTTTGACATCATGTCTAAACGTTTTAAATCCCACAAAGGATCATGCTTCCAGATCCAAAAATTATTTCAAGTACTTTTTATGTTCTAATCTCATGAGATTGAGACACAAAGAGAATATTTAGAGTATCAGTGGTGAAGGATGAAAACGTCAGGCCATCTAGCTAGTGTTTCTCAGGCACCCGTCTCTGTGGTATCAAAGTGTACAACACCAGTGTTTACTAGAAATGATACGACTTGCAAGCATGAGAATTTACTAGTCCCATAAATTCTTTCAACCATTGCTGTCAAGATGACCTCTTGGCCACCAATCGGGAAGGTTATTTTGGGTAAATGTTGTTTGTGCTGATGGCAGTCAGCCTAAGAGAAACCTGTGCAAAAAGTCCTGTCTGTTAGCCTGCTTTGTTACCGTGAAGCATGTGCCCAGTTGGACGAGTATTTGAAGAGTCTCTGTAAGCCGTTTGTTTCTAAGTTTGACCTTGGTTTGAGTACGTATGAAGTCGACTTTTTATGTGGACTCAAAAACAAGCACCGTTACGTTACAGTTGATTATTAACTACAGTGGAGGCTTTCAGGAATAAACAAAAGGAACATCCCGTATTGATTGGGCCAGCACATTTTGATCTACCGTGTTATGTCGGGGTGGTTTCCTTGCTTAGATGCAAGCAAAGAAGAATTACCCTGGGTTGAAAGCTGGGGTTCTCACAGAGGAGAACACTGGGAGTTTTGTCACCTATAGTAGGAGGCTGGTTTTCCCACTGTCCTTTTCATCTTGCTACTCTTCAGTCTCCCAAGCTCTTACTTCATCTCTTTTTCCTCCCTTTCCTCAACTGTCTGTCTCTTCTCTTTATCCTGTAAAATGTAGGGTAGAGAGTTCCAGAGGGTTTTGCTTTCCTCTGTTTTGTCTTGTGCAAGGCAAGCAACGTCTGGATACAGTATTCTTACCCTATGTGGAAATTGAGATACTCCCAACAGGTTAATTTCTCTATTCCCTGGTGGGGAAAAATGCGTCTCAAGCCTTTGACATGAGACCCCGGACCTGGCGGTGCTCCTAGGGAGACTATGGTGGCTACCTCAGCCTGTCCCCTCAGCCAAGCACTTTCAACTCAGTTTAATCAAAAAACTTGCATGGTCCCAGCATGAACACAGACATATTGAATGCCACATCTAGAGGGAATAATTAGAGTGATTAAAACCGAGTGAATTAAAATTCTTTGCCAGTTGAATTTTTTAAATTCCCTTCCCTCCTAAATGGAAAAAGAAACCTGCCTATTCACTTTTTCTCTTAAAGGTATAAGAGCCGAAAGAAACATTTTCAGGTGTTATAGAATTAAGGTGGAAGAAAGGAGAGAAAAATATCATGAGAAAAAGATGGCCCCGAGATTAGGATTTTGGATGAAGTGAGTCTTCTTTGTTTTATCATCTTTCACCACAGATTAGAAAAGTTAAAGAGTGTGTTGTGAGTGGTGTTAGCGCAGTGGGGTAAGGGCTTATGAGGTGATATCATCTTTTATAATAATTTTAAAAACAAGGACTCATGCTGTAGGCTTTGATTTGAAATTGGAATGGCAGCTGAAGCAGCAGAGAGAGAATTGCTGGGATGTGCTGTCACCATCCGAACCAGCTTGCTGTCTCAGAGTGGCGTGTTCTTGTGTACCTAGGCAGGGGCTAAATAGCCCCTAGCTGGAATCCGATACACTTCTGGGCAGTAAAGAAGTGTAGACTGTGTCCAGAAAATGGAGATTTAGAGGATCGTACCTCAGCTCTGCCACTCTTATTCTCATCGGTAATTCTTGCCGTCTTTACTTCTATTGACTTCTCCTCTGTGTTCCTTTAACTACTAGGTTATGGCATCTCCAGGCTCTGGGAGACTTGTCTGTGATGATTAAAGAGATACAAAGGTTCTAGCTGAAGAGGAATGATTCAAGGGTGATTCCCTATGCCAGAAGAAGCTCATAATTAAGCCGGTCCGGAGGTTGGATTTCTTTTACAACCTCTTAAGACAGATACTTGCAAGTAAGTCATTTAAACTATACTGTATTTTGAAGGGAGTAGGTAAGCAGGCAGTGGTTTTGACTAAACTGTTTTAGCTATATGGATTTTTGTGTGTGTGTGGCAAAAACTTCCCCCTCTCTAGTAATCAAAATCTTCTATTTTATCTTTTATTATAATTTTTGCTCTGTAGCCAGTTATGACAGTTGGGAAAGATATAACCTACTATTCTCCCATAACTATTTTGCAGTTTGATTTCATGTTTGAAGGACTGTTGTGTAGAAGAAAGATTCATTTTGTTTTGCTTGGCCCCAGAGGGAAAAACTATGGGTGGGAATTGCAAAGAGGCATATTTGGATTTGATATAGGGATGAACATCTTAACAGTTGGAGCTGTTTTGGGAAGTTATGCCTTCTCCCCAATTGGATGTCTTTAAGGAGAGTCTAGGTGACCCTTTGTTCCATGTATTCTACAAGGGATTCTTGTAGTGGTATGAGTTGAGCTAGAGACGGCCTGGAGGGTTCCTTCCAATTCTGATGTTCCGTGATTTATTCTTCTACTTGCTCCCCAAACCTCTACCCACAAGAAGGATGAGGGCTGCTGACAGCCTACATTTAATAATTGGTTCCATTGTATGAGAAAGCACCACTTCTTGCCGTGGCAGAATAATACCGCAGTTTTAACACACACACACATACATACACATACACACACACACACACACAGAGTTACTTTTTGCCTATTCTGGCCTTTAACAGCTTTAAAAAAAAATCATATATTTATAAAACAGACCCCAAAAAATTAAAGCAAATTAAGTAAACTGTTTCACCCTTATAAAATCTCAAGGAAATAGATATAGAGAAGTTTTTGTTTGTTTGGTTTTTAGATTCTTATTTCCAAATGGTCAAATAATTTATCCAGCAACATTTATCATAGCCACTAAATTTTCCTGGAGCCCAGAAAAATTCAGAGTGGATTTTAAAAATCCAATAATATTTGATATACATATTTGGTTAGATTTTCATGAAACTTTGTGAGATAAGACTGTAAACAGAAGTTTATAGTCTCTCATTGTAATGAAAGGGGAATAGTGGTAAAGATGGAAATGGAGTGGGTGGAGGCATTGATAATGGAAGCAAAGGAAACTTATGTTGAAATTTTTACAATCAGGTGAAAATGTTAGTGGATCCACAAATAAAAAATTAATTCTATAATTTGATTGGGCAGATCAGTGATAAAGGTAAGTCTAGTTTCTTAACTTTTGGTCCATTTCTTAATAGACCTGAACAGATATTCTCATATAGCAAGAAGAAAGAGGCTGGCCAAGTCAATTTAATAATTATTTCTTTTCTGTCTTATTTGGGCCGTTGCCTAAAAACAGCTGCTTAAGAATTTATGGAATGAGGACAAGAAAATACAGTATTTGATAGCAAAGCATGAAAAATGGTTAAGATAAAAACCATCTGGCAAGTTTTCCGCTTATATTAGTGATGTTATTATGTAAAATATCAGGGTTTTATAAGTAGTGTTCAGATTTTTTTTTGGGGGGGGAGAAAGGTTCATTATAGTTAGAAAATAAAGAGGCAGGTGAGGATAAAGACATCTATTTATGTACAGAACAGTTCTTTTTTAAAATAGTGGCTGAGACCAAACTATTTCCCCAATATAGCTCTTGGAACTAAGCCGAACAGCCCCACATCCAGAGCATGGGATTAGAACAAGTAATCTGAGGAGACAGTGTACCTACTCTCAGGGTTTTGTCATGGTGTTGGGCAATAGAAATGTGTTTATATGTGTAAAGTGACTGGCTCAAGGAAAACCTTTACCCATTTAAGAAAGAAGATATAACCAGTAATTTGAAGAAATGTCAGTCTGGACAGTGAAAACAGAAGAACATATTATTACTTAGAAGTGAAGAATGTTTACAGCAGAAATGCAAAACAGAAATACAAAAATGCAGAGAAACTTCCTGAGATCTATTCAAAGCTCCTACCCAGAGGCAATTGTGCAAGATAGTTATCTCTACATGGTTCCATGGCTGTCCTTTAGGAGTTCATTGCTGGGCACATGAAAATACTTAACTGTTTTAGCTGAGATGTAAATTTTTATTCTTTGCAAAAGAGTCTTGGGAGAGATGATAAGCCTCCTTATGACTCTTTTATAGAAACACCTAGAGGTAGAAAGGAGAACCTTAAAGGTCATCTGATACTGCTTCCCACAGGATGCTGATGATGCTTTTATAATCCTTATAAGAGATGCTCTTCCAGCCTTGGGCTCTAATACTTCCCATGGGGAAGAGGTCACTATCTACTAAGGGAGACCAGTCTATGGATGGACTGTTCTTTATATTGAGCTAAAACTTTCAGAACTTAGCTTTTCACTTGTCGCCTCTCTTTACTCTCTTCTTTAGGTTAAATCATTCTAACTCCTTTCATTTTACCTTATAATCATAGCATCATGGGATTTGAAGCCGAAAGGGATCTTAGAGTTTATCTAGTTGAACTCCAAACAGGTTCAGGGGTGAAATGACTCCAAAGGTCAGTCAGGAAGCAAATCCAAAATTTAAAACCTCTGGTTCCCTGAATCCAAATCTAGTGTTCATTACATCGAGCTAAGATCGGTGTAGCAGTTTGCTGAGGACCACCATCAGATAGGAATCCCTAATATTAGTGGGTTTTCACTTCCCAGTGCAGTGGAGGGCAAGACTATGGGATTGGGGAAACTGGTTTGTTTTTTTTTAACAGCTCCCTTTTGTCTCCTCCTCAAGTCCTTAGATACTACCAGGATGTCAGGGACTTTTGGACTACTCTCTTTTCACCTCCCCCTCTCCCATTAGAAACAATGCTTTTAAGAGAGCTATGATCAATGTTAACTTATTGGTTTTTACATTTATTTTTTTTTTTCATGCTTGCTGGTATCGTGTTAGTTTTTTCTATAACTAGGTAATGCATTTAGGGAAAAAATAATCTGAATTATACTCATTATATGATGAGCTGCCTCACAAATTTATGAAGCAATTAGTAATGGTTTTAATCTCTCTGGGCTTCAGTTTCCTCATCTTTAAAATGAGAGTTAGATTTAGATGGCTTCTAAACTTCCTTTCATCTTTAAAATTCCACTATTCTGTGATTTTGTTGTATGTTGTTTCTTGTACACCCTAAAATACTTTGGAATTATCCAAGTAATATTTGTACTTGGAATATGCTGAGTATAAAAGACTTGGAAGGGTGTTGCCAACAAAATATTATCATCTCATTTTGTTACACAGTTGTGGTCAGTATGGACATAGAGTATTGATGCTAAACCTCAGGAGAAACATAATGGAAATGAAGAAGGTCCAGAGCAGCTGAGTGGTATAATAGATAGAGCTCTGGCTTGGAATCAGGAAGATCCATGTTCAGAATCCAGCCTCAAATACTTACTAGCTCTATGACCCTGGGCAAGTCATTTAATCTCTGTGCCTCAATTTCTCCATTCTTTTTTTGTTGAGGTGGTGTTTTTTTTTTATGCCAGATATATTTATTTGCATGTAAAAGGCAAGAAACTGCTAGTACTTTTCATTTTTCCTCTTTTTGAGCAAAAAACAGTTATTCTGCTATTATCTGTGGATAAGCACCTTCTTATCCAATATTAGATCAGTAGAGGATGTGATTTCTAACTCTAAAATGCTTCCATTTACATAATATGGCATTGGGATCTGTCCTTTTTATATTTCATTATTAGTTTCCATTCAAGTTTTACTTCTGCAATTAGATAACTTAATTTGAATTGGAACCTGAAAATCTGTCCTGTCAGTCATCTCCATAAAAAATATGAGTACTAGGTACTTTTTAGCCTTCAAAATTACAGTCTAATTTTTGGTTCCAGTATGACTGACCTTTTTCAGAGTAACACAAAAGCCTTAAGAAATATACGTAACAATTGTCATTGTGCAGGGAAGAATTTCTCTGTTAACTCAAAGAGAAGCAAAAGATATTTTTGTCATATGTTACGGCAGATGAGCTCAGAACAACATGCATTTAGAATCAAGGTTTCATATTTAATATCCCCATATGAGCGATCTCTCCATTTGTAAAATGAGGGTAATAATGATACTTGCCTCCCGGGGTTGTTGGAGGATAAAATGAGATAATATTTGTAAAATGCTTTGCAAACCTAAAAGCATTGTAAAACATGCTAGCTATTTAAAAAAAATAAGAACAATTAAACGTTAAAAATTGTCTTTACATGTAATTGGGGGGAACATAAAATATTGTTTAAAAAAATAAGAATGACTAAAATGAACAAGGGAATAGGATCTTTATATCAACAGACCAACAGATTGGGAGTATAGGAAAGGAAAGTTGAGAACATATGTCTATGAAATTACAAAGGTGATTGTTAGGTGCCATTCTTGTTTGCCAGATTTTGGACTATTGGACCTACAGGGTGTCTTTGAAGATTGAAAACTATGATCTGGCATAAATAAAAAGGAATATGGTACTCCTTTACACAACAGGTAAAGTAATTACCATGAGAGGTACAGTCCTAGCAATAGACCAAGTCTTCTTTCTGGAGTTAGAATTATTGAATATGAAGATGACCATTTTATTGTACTCTAAGCATTCATTGTCTTCAGGCTTTTTTTACCTGAATCCTCATGAGATTTTTGTTTTAGTACATGAAGAATTGAGTAGCTGATTGCCTCTCCAGCTTGGTAGGACCTTGGGAACTTTGTGCCCCACCTCCAGAGCCTGCAAGAGCCCCATTACCAGGATTTTATAATGACATTTCAGAATGGGATTTTTGTGAAAGCCACTTTCTCTTATTCTTGCCAAAATGTAAAACATCTCTGAAGTGATTTCAGCCTGCTGATTTGTGGAGGAAACGGCATTGTCTCTCTCACCACTGGCTAGTGCAGCCAATGCCTGCTTTCCTCTCCTCTGGGAGTCTGCAGAAAACTCTTACTAACCAGAAGCATTTTTTCTTACCTCTTGATTCCTTGCGTGGACCATCAGCAGTCTGCATATGGTGCCTCTTGATCC